TTTATCACCATTACCTCGTACTCCCTACCACTGCTCCACAGCTGCCCACTCTTCATTAAGCCTTGCATAAAATACTCAGATCTGTTGCTTTGTCTTTGTATTTCTTAGGAAGGCTCTGTGTCACATAGAACTTATACTGAATAAATTTGTAGGCTTTTCTTCAGTGAATCTTTGTCAGTTTAACTTTCAGACCCAGCCAGGGACCCCTAAGAGGATCAAGGGAAACTTTTTCCTCTTCCACACCCCGTTGTAGCAATGCAAGGGCAAGAATTCCAGGCTCTAGCTGTAGCTTGCCAGGTGCCACGGTGGGCAGCTATGGATTTCATGACGAATCCCAGGCGGAGGACACAGAGTGCCAGAATAGGTGTTAAAAAAGGATGACTGACTAAGGATCTTACGAATATTGAGTGTCTCACAGATATTTGGTGTTTCATGTGCTTGGTGAACATTTAGTGGCGGCTTAGTTTGCCCAGCCCTTCCCGTAGCAGCAGACATCTGCTTTACTCAGGGTCGAACAAGCTACTTGCTTCTACTCTTAATTTCATCCATCCTCCTCATTTGTTTCCTTCTCTTATTCTCTTTAGCAGACCTGAATCTTCTTAATATTCTTACACAATACAGCAAACACACCTTACAAGGATTCAGGAGCTAACTTGAAGAGGCCACACTGGTCAAAGACAGGATCATTTGAGAATCAAAAAGATAATAACTGTAATGTTTGAAATGCACCAAGTATGTTTAGTGCCATGAGTTCATAATAACATTTCTACAAACACAAACAAAATGAAATCTCTAATGACAGCCACTGGACAATGGTACTGAGCAGATTCATTGTGCTCAAAATTGGTCTTTCCTATATGAACCATCCCCCTGGGTAACCATTTAGTAGGTGAGGGCGTTTCTCTTCCTAGAAGTAGTCTAGGAAGGAAGAAAATGCAGCAGGAATGACTGAATTAGAACACCATCATTTTGCAATCCCCGGTGAATGGCTGGGTCTAGGCACTGAGCATCAACGACCGCTAACATCACACAAAAAGACAATCACACATCACATACCTCTTGAAGGAGCCACATAATACCACTTACAAGGTAGTCTTGTGTGCAAAAAGTTGACTGTGCATCTGATTGTGCCTCCATCATCACTCTTCGATGTGGTCAACATCACCTGTCAACTTGCTACAAACGCAAATTTTCAGGACTTGTCTCAGCCCAGAATCAGCAGCTCTGGTGCCGGGGCCCAGCAATCTATTTTAACAAGCCATTCGGAGTGATTATGTGTGTAAGCCCGACGCCAGCTTAACAGGAAAGAGAGAGGAACATACTGCACAGCGCCATGGTAACACATCCTGAAAAAGTGACATCTCAGCTGAGATCTGATGGAAGAATGGGAGTGAGCCAGGTGGAGGGGAGGAGAAGTAAATATTCCAGACAGAGGCAGCACCAGGCTTGGAGTCCAGAGATGAGGAAGAGAGGCCCGCTGAGGAGACTGCAAGTCCAGAAGGGCAGGTAACGAGAATGAGGAGGTGGCAGGACAGGAGACGGGGAAGTCAGCAGGGGCCAGCTGGGGGGACTTACAAACCAGGTTAAGAATTCTTTCAGATTATTGCAAGGGCACTGGGAAGCAATTGAAGGGTTGAAAGCAGTGGAGGGACAGTATCAGATTCTTTAAAGAAAAATTTTAAATGAGAAAATGTTTTAATTATGGATAACGACGGCCCCTGCCCCAGCTCGCCTCTGCCCTATTCCTCTCCCACGAGAAAACCACCGAACTGTGTAAACAGTTTTCTGCTAGTGGTTACGTGCTTCTCTCTCAACGTGCACTGTCATCCTGCAGGCTGTCTGGGAAACAGGCTTTGTGATGGAGGTCTCCATGCAGGTGGCTCGCCGGGGACTGGGCAGAGGGAGACGGGGAACTGAGACCGCAGCCGATCCCGTGGATTCTGAGGCTGGGATGGCTTCATCGGAGGCAATGAGCACATCGTCCGGCCTTGGAGAACTGTTCCCAGAGAGCAGGTGTGACCGTGGTCCAGTCAGCTAGCTGTCTTCACAGACGCCGAGCCCTCGCCTCGGGCTTTCTCCTGCTCTTCTTATGTGGTTTTGTTCATCTACCTGTCCAGCATTTCCCCACATTCACTAGGGAGTTAAGCACCTGTTGTGCACTTTTTCTCTCTACCCTTAACATTCGAGAGATTCCACAGGGGCCACCTTTCCCCCAGTTTATCACCATTACCTCGTACTCCCTACCACTGCTCCACAGCTGCCCACTCTTCATTAAGCCTTGCATAAAATACTCAGATCTGTTGCTTTGTCTTTGTATTTCTTAGGAAGGCTCTGTGTCACATAGAACTTATATTGAATAAATTTGTAGGCTTTTCTTCAGTGAATCTTTGTCAGTTTAACTTTCAGACCCAGCCAGGGACCCCTAAGAGGATCAAGGGAAACTTTTTCCTCTTCCACACCCCGTTGTAGCAATGCAAGGGCAAGAATTCCAGGCTCTAGCTGTAGCTTGCCAGGTGCCACGGTGGGCAGCTATGGATTTCATGACGAATCCCAGGCGGAGGACACAGAGTGCCAGAATAGGTGTTAAAAAAGGATGACTGACTAAGGATCTTACGAATATTGAGTGTCTCACAGATATTTGGTGTTTCATGTGCTTGGTGAACATTTAGTGGCAGCTTAGTTTGCCCAGCCCTTCCCGTAGCAGCAGACATCTGCTTTACTCAGGGTCGAACAAGCTACTTGCTTCTACTCTTAATTTCATCCATCCTCCTCATTTGTTTCCTTCTCTTATTCTCTTTAGCAGACCTGAATCTTCTTAATATTCTTACACAATACAGCAAACACACCTTACAAGGATTCAGGAGCTAACTTGAAGAGGCCACACTGGTCAAAGACAGGATCATTTGAGAATCAAAAAGATAATAACTGTAATGTTTGAAATGCACCAAGTATGTTTAGTGCCATGAGTTCATAATAACATTTCTACAAACACAAACAAAATGAAATCTCTAATGACAGCCACTGGACAATGGTACTGAGCAGATTCATTGTGCTCAAAATTGGTCTTTCCTATATGAACCATCCCCCTGGGTAACCATTTAGTAGGTGAGGGCGTTTCTCTTCCTAGAAGTAGTCTAGGAAGGAAGAAAATGCAGC